ACAGGCTGTTTCATGAGGGGTACCTCAATCATCAGGTGCTAGGCTCTGAGTGAAGGAATAATGAAGTACAGTACAAAGCGGGTTTGAATATGAACTAAAATATAACCCTTCTATTAACACTCACACTAACAAGAAGAAAAGAAAAAGGAACGTTATTTGGTTTAATCCACCCTACAGTAGTAATGTAAAAACTAGAATTGGCCACGTATTCCTTAGAATTATAGATGATTGTTTTCCACAAAATCATGTATTAAGAAAGATTTTTAATAGGAACACTGTTAAGTTATAGCTGCAAGCCTAATATAGGATCTATAATCTCTGCCCATAATAAAACCATACTAAAAAATGACAAGGCAGAAGACAACTGCAAGCTATGCAATTGCCGAAACCATAATGAATGCCCACTATCTGGGAAATGTCTAAGTAGCAGCGTAGTATACCAAGCTACAATTAGTAGGGACGACAATAATTAAGTTGAAACATATATTGTTCTTACGGAAAATACATTTAAAAGTAGATACAACGGGCATACATGCTCATTCCGTAATGATAAATACAAGAATAACACTACACTTAGCCAATATGTTTGGAAGCTTAAAGAAGATAAAATAAAGTACAAAATTAAATGGCGTATATTATCTAAATGTAAATCATATTCTAACTCTACCAAACGATGCAACCTTTGTATACAAGAGAAGTATTTTATTATATGCCAACCCGAAATTTGTACTCTAAATCAAAGGAACGAATTATTCAGTTCATGTAGACATAGACGCGAGTTCTTTTTAAGATATACTACTTAATCCTGTAGGCTTTCTTTTATCCATCTAAACAATAGAGACTTAATCACTTGGTAATTAACATACTTTTGTTCTGATAAACTGTCACAATCTATGTACTGTACTTCATTATTCCTTCACTCAGAGACTAGCACCTGATGATTGAGGTACCCCTCATGAAACAGCCTGTAGTGCAATAAAATGTTGAGTCTTTAACCCAGTGTTTCATGTTTATTTGTCTATATATATATATATATAAGGAAATAATAAGGAAATGCAAATTGTAAACCATTACGTGTGATTGGTTGTTGATAGAAACGCCCTCAACTTGGTAACCGATAGCGCTTTCTAACCGTTAGGGTATCCGTATAACGCCAACGATCTATAGTGCTAACCGATCGTGCGTTCTCACACAGGTGCTAACGGTTAGCGCTAACGGTTAGCTCCCGATCCAAATACTAGGGCTCTCGTGTTAATCAGGCTTGATATATAGCTGGAAACACACGTGCTGCTAACCATCTTATTGTTGTCTACTAATAGGCCTAAACATATATAAATTATCAAAGAAAGGTAAATACAGTGTTTGAATAAAGAACTTTAGGCATCGTGTAGCACAGCTCTCAACGTATGTAGTCCTATAAATGAAATGAATAAAAAAATTGTGTAATAAAATGCCTCTCAGGGGCGGATACAGGACTTAGCAAAAGGATGGGGGGGGGGGCGCCAAAGTAAAGATGTACGACCAACCAAGTTACAAGCACTGAGGGCAGGGGCGGATCCAGCCTGCCAGAGAAGGGGGGGGGGCGCAATCTGCAAGCGAAGCGAGCAGCCTTAGGCTGGGGGCTAGTGGGGCAGCCTAGGGCCCCCGGCGGGGTCCAGGGGCAGAGTCTCTTGGTGAGGGTTCACGGGCGCAAAGTCCCCTTGAAGCCCAGCACATTTTGAGGAATATGAGGTTGTATTGAGTTGATTTTGACTATCTAGCATGGTATTTTTCAGTAACAAATAAAAAAAAATAAAAAATATGTGTATGTCTTTTAAAAGAAATTTTAATATACATGGTACCTGCAATATGCAACTATGACATGTGTCATTAAATTAGAAATAGTTTTAGCGCCTCTTCCACGAACATCTCAAACATAATCTTTGACAGCATGCAAAGGCTAATAAATGTACACTATTTCAAAAGAGAAATTTCACTTCTAGAAAACATGATGAAGTTTCTCAGCAACATTGAGCATAAAAATCACAAAATCAGCAAAAAGAAAAACTAATATCCAAAATCCGTTAAAAAAGTCGTCAAACAACAAAATCCGCTACTGTATACAGTATTAACATTGATTAAATTACAAGTGTTCTATTTCTCACCAAGTGGATTTATGAATTAGCACTCTCATATGGTGTTTTTGGTAGGAAAAGAAGACTTAAACACTGTGGGTGTAATTTCTTTTTGCAAAAAAATAGGGGGGGGGGGAAGTACGCCCCTTACGGGCCATCCCTCCTAAATCCGCAACTAGAAATAGGCCTAGGCCCTAGGTTTAGGTAGGCCTACTTTGTTTCATGTCAATTAGATTAGTAAATTACACAATATGATTAAATCAGGTACTGTACTTAAAAATAATAAGGAAGCAAAAGTGTCAAATGTTGTCTACACAAAACCTGTACTTTATTAAAATAGTAAGTCTACTGAAGGGGTGTCGTCAATAAAGATGTGCACACATATCAGTGTACTGTGGTCACTGTGCATGGGGTTGTCTGACAGCACATACCTGCCGACCTTGATAGAGAGTGATTGATTGCACGAAGGTTTCCATGCTGGTGCATCTGCGTTTCAACTGTCTTTGTAGCTATGCCTTGCGCGATGTGACACAGAATCAACCTTTCTATGTCATTGTGTATCCATTCAATTATCTCAAAAAAAAAAAAAAAAAAAAAATGGTGATGTAAAGGAGGGGGAGGTGGGCGCGTCGTAGGCGCCGCCCCTCAAACCTGCCCCTATCTCTCAGGATTCGAACCTGCGACCTCTTGCTGTCGAGGCTAGACTATTCATTTATTTATAGGACTACATTTGTAAAGAGCTATGCTACAAGATATATTATTGTCCTTTATTCAAACATTGTATTTACCTTTCTTTGATGATTTATATATGTATATATATAATATATAATACACTCGTTCGGTTTTATATTTGATGAATTTTTCCTTATTTATTCTGTTTTTTTTACCCAATTTTTTTTTTATTTATTTTATTCTTTTAATTAAAGACTATTTATATATTTATCAAAGTCTACTTACCTGGATGTGGTCTTCAAAGAGCATAAAATTTGAATCTCCATCGATTGTTTTGTTGAGGAGAAAACGAGACTGATTATAGTCCATCACTGAGATAGCAATCTCCTCAAATATGCTAAGATGTCCATTTTTAATATAACCACCGATCCTTTCTAACACAGAAAAGCGAACTATTGTATTATGCAAAGCACAACAAACACTTATTAAAAGTGGTTCTTTGTGCTTCTAAAACCAAAAATTCTGCATACAGCTGTGGCTTTAAAATATGCCTAAGTAGGGCAGAATGGTGATTTGCCTCTCAGAAAAGGAGGGGGAGGGATTCGAGGGATCATAACACCACATTTGCTAGCCATACGATTACATATGCATTGCATTAGGCTCACATAGAATAATGTTTACGAATTTTCGTAAAGCCACCGCGTTATTTAAATTAAGCAACGTCTTCAGTTTACCAGTTTCAATGTGTCCAATAGTGTAACACTTCGGATGGAGCCCTGTGGTTCTCTAGGACTGGGGGATTTTTTTAGTCCTGGTCGGTGGCCATATTCTGATATGAGTTTTAGACATTGTAATTCTAAATATTTTAACACTGAAATAGACGACTTAAAATTAGTGGAAGATCCACGAATTTGAAATAGAGGGTGTCTATTTTTTAAAATTGGAGGGTATAGGCTAGCTCCGCTACCATAGTTAGGACAAAGCATTAAAAAAATTATGATTATAGCACATTTATAGATGGCCGGAATAGCGCTCACAAGCTAACAACTTGAATATAAATTTCTTTTTAACCTCTATTTTGTTAAAACAAATTATTAATTGGAAGGGAGGCATTTCGTCAATGGATATGATTTTTCCTACTAGTCATGTATCAGCAACGCCTTTTGGGGGTCAGAGTTCGAGAACCCTACGAGATAAAGTGCTAGCAGACCGCCGCGCGAGAGCGAACGAGTCAGTTGTATTGGGCATGTGAATGTATTTGATATAACAGCTGGAATTTTATAAAGGATATATTAGGTAATGTACTAGTACCTCCTTTCTTCTATTTAACATTTAACTGGCTCTGTGCAAGCCACTTAACAAAATAGTCAAATTATACTATAGCCATAATAATACAATTAAGAAAATTCGACTGTAACACTACCATAATACATACCGGTAGTATGAGTGTAGATGTCATGATTATTACAGCATTCCTGACCACTGCAAATACTAACAACACAGCACAGAGTTACAAAACAAGCATAAAAACGCATAGTTTCGATTTTTTTAATTTATCAAAATGTTATCCTGTCGATGAAATGAATATCAGCATTCCCGACTTGTGTGTCTGCTGAGATGGAGTGAATGTATTTATATACAGATTGTTTTGACAACGACAAATATCACACCTCACCAAACAGTTCACACGTGATGTTTAGCAGTCGTGTGATTGAATAAGCTTGTTATAATTGTTCTATATACATACTCAGTTTACCTCATATTCACTATTTCAGGAAATCGTATCCAGATGGTGTTTCCTCTCAATGTCGCTCAGTATTAGGCTTCATTGTGATGGAAATGTTAGGAGGGTTTTTTTTTCCTTTTTTGTTTTTGTTTTTGTTTTTGTTTTTGTATTTTTTGACATTAACATACATCCATTATGAATATCCGTTAATTATAATATACCTAGACATTTGAAAATTCAGATGAAGATCTATATGGAGAAAATGAAATAATTCTAGCTAACGATTGTAAGTTAGTTAATTTATCAATGTTGGATCTGCATCCCAAACAATATTACCATATTGAAAATAAGGTAGGATAAATGTGTTATAAAGAGAAATCAAAATATTCAGAGGGGAAAAAGTGCCTAATTCAATTTTTTATTACCAGTCAATTGATATTCTTTGTGAAATAATATTTGGATAGACTAGTCCACCTCAGATGTTCATGAATGTAAACTTCTAAATTAAAAAAGAGTTAAAATTTTACATCAGTTTGATTTCCATAGGAAATATGTTAAAGTTGACAGCTAGCTTTCGTTGAAAATTGTGAAAAATTAAATAATTTTGTTTTAAGTGTAAAAATATGTAGACCTAATTTGTTTGTAAAAATGTTGGTAATACATCATTAAATGTACTAAATAATAAATCTATCGTTATTTAAACCATCTTCACTTCAAAATTTCGGTGGAATTCCACCAGTTTATTTGTTTACAAGTAATGTTTGTTTTTATTTTATTTGTACGGGATTGTGACCTGTAAATTATGAGCCTGCCAGGCATAGTCCTCACAATTACCATTATCATTTATCTTTGTCATTGGAAGACAATAGTCACGATGAATGTACGCTATCCGGCTTTCTTACTTCAATCAACCTCTCGTCACATCTTCTTTGTTTCAAGAAAAACAATAGATCACCGATGATCACCATCTCTATTTAAGATCAAGCAGAAGTCATCTGTTATCTTTCTCCTGATTACGTTAAGAGAAATCTCATCGAAACCTCGCGACAACCAACCAGTGTTTTTTTTTTCAAAAACCATTTATTACACATGGTGTACCGGAAGTTGTTATGCTTTCGTTAATGATACTTGCCATGCAAACCTCAAAGAAATATGTTTGCAATAAAGATATCAAAACTTTTTGTTCACACTCAAGGATCAATATACCTGTCTTCATTTTGCAAATCAATCGATAAAGCGTTGAAATCCCTTATACACAGGTATTAAGAGTGAATTTCCACCACAAGTCCATACCAACTCATCAAAAAATAAATCGCAATTTAAAGTTAAATCGCGGATGAATTACGTTTAAACTATCATAATGCCACATTCTAATTAATGAGTGGTATATATTTATTTGTCGGGTTTGGCCTTCTTTCTATTACCATACTGTACAAAACACCTCTTGTTTATTTTGCTCCCAACCGGTTGAGCCCTCTCACCCTTGATGACTTACAAAAAGATCACCTTGATTA